TCCCATCACCCGCTCCTCCCCCATCCCATCACCCGCTCCTCACCATCCGTTCACCCGCTCCTCTCCATCCGTACTGCACGGTGCCCCCATAGTGCCCAAGATGGGGTCTAGTGGAGGAGCTCTGGGATGGGGAGATCTGGAAGGAGGAGATCTGGGATGGGGAGATCTGGAAGGAGGAGATCTGGGATGGGGAGATCTGGGATGGGGAGATCTGGAATGGGGAGATCTGGGATGAGGGGCTCTGGGATGGGGAGATCTGGAAGGAGATCTGGGATGGGGAGGTCTGGGAGGAGGAGCTCTGGGATGAGGAGATCTGGGATGAGGGGCTCTGGGATCGGGAGATCTGGGATGAGGGGCTCTGGGATGGGGAGATCTGGGATGAGGGGCTCTGGGATGAGGAGCTCTGGGAGGAGGGGCTCTGGGATGGGGAGTCCTGGGATGAGCTCTGGGATTGGGAGATCTGGGAGGAGGAGCTCTGGGATGGGGAGTCCTGCTGGGAGGAGGAGTCCTGGAATGGGGAGCTCTGGGATGAGGAGATCTGGGATGGGGAGCTCTGGAAGGAGGAGCTCTGGGATGAGTAGTTCTTCTCAGTAGCATCATTCAGCTTCAACCTGAGTGTCCCCATGGAGGGAAGTGACGTCCGGTGACTCGGTAGTCGTAGATTTGGTGAGATGGGCCCCAGTTGGGGCAGTGTGGGCTCCCATGAGCAGTCCTCCAATCCCGAAGGCAGGAGATGATCTCTGATTGGCTGTATGGTGACACTGCCAGGAGTGCGGCTCCACCAAATCTTTCCCAGACGGGACATCATGGGTTGGAGATCTCGATGGGTCGGACATTTCGATAGAACACTGGTTGTGACTACAAAGCTAAGGATGATGATTGGCTCCCCGGCAGATATAACTGGCATCATCGGAGAGGTCACATGACCCAAATGTTATAAATGGAGTAAAATAAGTATTTCATCCCCTACCAACCAACAATCATTCTGGCCCCTCCCACAGACTGTCCATGTGGTACACAGATGAGTTCTGTCACTTTAAGAAGGTGTTCCTAACGTCACCTGACCCCAGAATCTCTTTCCTCCATCACCCCTCCCCCACCATGGGAGGACCAAAGAGCTGCCAGAGGAGGTCGGGGGCCGTGGCCCTGCCCGAGGCTGGAATGGGCTCCAAGACTCTCAGCAAGAAGCTCGGGGAGAAGGAATTCAGAATACCCACCAATGGCCCTCTGCCTGGAGCTCCATGGAGGATGTCACCTCATTGGGTGAGGATGAGAAAAGTGAGGGATCCGCCCACAACTACATGGGGGGAGGAGCTTGTGAATGATCTCAGGGCAGTTGGGACCACAGTCACCAAACAAACCATTGGTAACACAATACACCGCCATGGATTGAGATCCTGCAGCGCCCGCAAGGTCCCCTCCTCAGGAAGGCCCTTGTACAGGCCCATCCCCTTCCTCAGGAAGGCCTATGTACAGGCCCGTCCCCCTCCTCAGGAAGGCCCATGTACAGGCCCGGCCCCCTCCTCAGGAAAGCCCATGTACAGGCCCGTCCCCCTCCTCAGGAAGGCCTATGTACAGGTCTGTCCCCCTCCTCATGAAGGCCCAGCCCCCTCCTCAGGAAAGCCCATGTACAGGCCCGTCCCCCTCCTCAGGAAGGCCCATGTACAGGCCCGGCCCCCTCCTCAGGAAAGCCCATGTACAGGCCCGTCCCCCTCCTCAGGAAGGCCCATGTACAGGTCCGTCCCCCTCCTCAGGAAGGCCCATGTACAGGCCCGTCCCCCTCCTCAGGAAGGCCCATGTACAGGCCCGTCCCCCTCCTCAGGAAGGCCCATGTACAGGCCCGTCCCCCTCCTCAGGAAGGCCCATGTACAGGCCCGTCCCCCTCCTCAGGAAGGCCCATGTACAGGCCCGTCCCCCTCCTCAGGAAGGCCCATGTACAGGCCCGTCCCCCTCCTCAGGAAGGCCCATGTACAGGCCCGTCCCCCTCCTCAGGAAGGCCCATGTACAGGCCCGTCCCCCTCCTCAGGAAGGCCCATGTACAGGCCCGTCCCCCTCCTCAGGAAGGCCCATGTACAGGCCCGTCCCCCTCCTCAGGAAGGCCCATGTACAGGCCCGTCCCCCTCCTCAGGAAGGCCCATGTACAGGCCCGTCCCCCTCCTCAGGAAGGCCCATGTACAGGCCCGTCCCCCTCCTCAGGAAGGCCCATGTACAGGCCCGTCCCCCTCCTCAGGAAGGCCCATGTACAGGCCCGTCCCCCTCCTCAGGAAGGCCCATGTACAGGCCCGTCCCCCTCCTCAGGAAGGCCCATGTACAGGCCCGTCCCCCTCCTCAGGAAGGCCCATGTACAGGCCCGTCCCCCTCCTCAGGAAGGCCCATGTACAGGCCCGTCCCCCTCCTCAGGAAGGCCCATGTACAGGCCCGTCCCCCTCCTCAGGAAGGCCCATGTACAGGCCCGTCCCCCTCCTCAGGAAGGCCCATGTACAGGCCCGTCCCCCTCCTCAGGAAGGCCCATGTACAGGCCCGTCCCCCTCCTCAGGAAGGCCCATGTACAGGCCCGTCCCCCTCCTCAGGAAGGCCCATGTACAGGCCCGTCCCCCTCCTCAGGAAGGCCCATGTACAGGCCCGTCCCCCTCCTCAGGAAGGCCCATGTACAGGCCCGTCCCCCTCCTCAGGAAGGCCCATGTACAGGCCCGTCCCCCTCCTCAGGAAGGCCCATGTACAGGCCCGTCCCCCTCCTCAGGAAGGCCCATGTACAGGCCCGTCCCCCTCCTCAGGAAGGCCCATGTACAGGCCCGTCCCCCTCCTCAGGAAGGCCCATGTACAGGCCCGTCCCCCTCCTCAGGAAGGCCCATGTACAGGCCCGTCCCCCTCCTCAGGAAGGCCCATGTACAGGCCCGTCCCCCTCCTCAGGAAGGCCCATGTACAGGCCCGTCCCCCTCCTCAGGAAGGCCCATGTACAGGCCCGTCCCCCTCCTCAGGAAGGCCCATGTACAGGCCCGTCCCCCTCCTCAGGAAGGCCCATGTACAGGCCCGTCCCCCTCCTCAGGAAGGCCTATGTACCGGCCCGTCCCCCTCCTCAGGAAGGCCTATGTACCGGCCCGTCCCCCTCCTCAGGAAGGCCCATGTACAGGCCCGTCCCCCTCCTCAGAAGGGCCATGTGTCACCTCTGTGCTCCCCAACACGGGTTACCCCAGGAAACGTCTCCCCTCTGTGTTCCCCAACAAGGGTTTCCCCGGGAAACGTCTCCTCTCTATGCTCCCCAACAAGGGTTCCCCACCAAGTACTAAGTCATGTTCTGCTTCCGGATCAAATACTTCTTTTACTCCCTGAACTACAACTCCATTGTAGTTCAGGGATATACCTGAACTGGTGGATATTCTGTCTCCGATGATCCAAATTATAGACGTTTCATGTCTCTGTCATCTGCAGGGGAGCCAATCATTAATATGGAGTATCGCCACCTCACTTCACCTGTAACCGATTATCACGGGACAAAGATGACAGATCTCCCGTCCCAGAGGCGGGAAAACCTCCCCCCAAGGCCCCGCCTCCACTACACTCAGGTGACCGGGAAGGAAGTGTATTCGTGACGTCATTTCCGGCAGCGGAGGACGGGGGAGATGGCGGCCGGGTGAGCGTCCGGAGCGGAGATCGGTGACCGGGAAGCAGTGACGTCACACCATGACGCGGGACGCTGAGTCACGTGACGAGCTGCCGGACTGGGCCGGAGCCAAAGAATTCTACCAGAAATACGACCCGAAGGAGATCATCGGCCGGTGAGAACCGGCCCACTACACATACACCCCGCCCACTGCTCATACACTCCGCACAGGGACCCGCCCACTCTACATAACAACCTGCCCAGAGCACGTACATCCTGCACATGGGTTGGCCCGTCCCCCTCCTCAGGAAGGCCCATGTACAGGCCCGTCCCCCTCCTCAGGAAGGCCCATGTACAGGCCCGTCCCCCTCCTCAGGAAGGCCCATGTACAGGCCCGTCCCCCTCCTCAGGAAGGCCTATGTACCGGCCCGTCCCCCTCCTCAGGAAGGCCTATGTACCGGCCCGTCCCCCTCCTCAGGAAGGCCCATGTACAGGCCCGTCCCCCTCCTCAGAAGGGCCATGTGTCACCTCTGTGCTCCCCAACACGGGTTACCCCAGGAAACGTCTCCCCTCTGTGTTCCCCAACAAGGGTTTCCCCGGGAAACGTCTCCTCTCTATGCTCCCCAACAAGGGTTCCCCACCAAGTACTAAGTCATGTTCTGCTTCCGGATCAAATACTTCTTTTACTCCCTGAACTACAACTCCATTGTAGTTCAGGGATATACCTGAACTGGTGGATATTCTGTCTCCGATGATCCAAATTATAGACGTTTCATGTCTCTGTCATCTGCAGGGGAGCCAATCATTAATATGGAGTATCGCCACCTCACTTCACCTGTAACCGATTATCACGGGACAAAGATGACAGATCTCCCGTCCCAGAGGCGGGAAAACCTCCCCCCAAGGCCCCGCCTCCACTACACTCAGGTGACCGGGAAGGAAGTGTATTCGTGACGTCATTTCCGGCAGCGGAGGACGGGGGAGATGGCGGCCGGGTGAGCGTCCGGAGCGGAGATCGGTGACCGGGAAGCAGTGACGTCACACCATGACGCGGGACGCTGAGTCACGTGACGAGCTGCCGGACTGGGCCGGAGCCAAAGAATTCTACCAGAAATACGACCCGAAGGAGATCATCGGCCGGTGAGAACCGGCCCACTACACATACACCCCGCCCACTGCTCATACACTCCGCACAGGGACCCGCCCACTCTACATAACAACCTGCCCAGAGCACGTACATCCTGCACATGGGTCCGCCTACTACACATACACCCCGCCCACTGGGCCAGCCTTCTACACACGGACCCCGCCCACCCGCAATCACGACCCATCTAATGACAGTCTGTATTGTGGCTGCAGACCCCTCCCACTGACACACCAACCACTCCCACAAGTCATGTGACCAAACAGAACTATTGTTTATAATGTAACATATCCCAACCAGTGTAGGCAGACCTGACCATGTGATGCGGTCATGTGACTATATCTGGTGTAGGCAGACCTGATCATGTGATGCGGTCATGTGACTATATCCGGTGTAGGCAGACCTGATCATGTGATGCGGTCATGTGACTATATCCGGTGTAGGCAGACCTGTCCACGTGATGAGGTCATGTGACTATATCCGGTGTAGGCGACTTAACCGTCATCTAGATGTGAAGATATCGGTGTGGGGGATGGCAGGTGATGTGACGGCCATCTTCTCTCTCAGGGGGGTCTCCAGCACGGTCCGGCGCTGTATACACCGAGAAACCGGCCGAGAATATGCCGTGAAGATAATTGAGGTGACGCCAGAGAAGCTGAGCCCCGAACAACTGCAGGAGGTGCGACTGTCCACCGCCAAGGAGATGGAGATCCTTCACCAAGTGTCCCAACACCCGTCCATCAGTAAGAAGGGTCACCGGGGTCTCCCCCAATCCCACCCTCGTCCCCTCGCCCAATCCCACCCTCGTCCCCTCCCCCATTGTCTCCTCGTCTTCTATCCAATCCCACCCTTCTCCACCACTGATCTCCTCTAATCATCTCTGACTCCTCTCCACCACCGATCTCCTCTAATCAGCATCTCCGACTCCTCTCCATCACCGATCTCCTCTAATCAGCATCTCCGACTCCTCTCCATCACCGATCTCCTCTAATCAGCATCTCCGACTCCTCTCCATCACCGATCTCCTCTAATCAGCATCTCCGACTCCTCTCCATCACCGATCTCCTCTAATCAGCATCTCCGACTCCTCTCCATCACCGATCTCCTCTAATCAGCATCTCCGACTCCTCTCCATCACCGATCTCCTCTAATCAGCATCTCCGACTCCTCTCCATCACCGATCTCCTCTAATCAGCATCTCCGACTCCTCTCCATCACCGATCTCCTCTAATCAGCATCTCCGACTCCTCTCCATCACCGATCTCCTCTAATCAGCATCTCCGACTCCTCTCCATCACCGATCTCCTCTAATCAGCATCTCCGACTCCTCTCCATCACCGATCTCCTCTAATCAGCATCTCCGACTCCTCTCCATCACCGATCTCCTCTAATCAGCATCTCCGACTCCTCTCCATCACCGATCTCCTCTAATCAGCATCTCCGACTCCTCTCCATCACCGATCTCCTCTAATCAGCATCTCCGACTCCTCTCCATCACCGATCTCCTCTAATCAGCATCTCCGACTCCTCTCCATCACCGATCTCCTCTAATCAGCATCTCCGACTCCTCTCCATCACCGATCTCCTCTAATCAGCATCTCCGACTCCTCTCCATCACCGATCTCCTCTAATCAGCATCTCCGACTCCTCTCCATCACCGATCTCCTCTAATCAGCATCTCCGACTCCTCTCCATCACCGATCTCCTCTAATCAGCATCTCCGACTCCTCTCCATCACCGATCTCCTCTAATCAGCATCTCCGACTCCTCTCCATCACCGATCTCCTCTAATCAGCATCTCCGACTCCTCTCCATCACCGATCTCCTCTAATCAGCATCTCCGACTCCTCTCCATCACCGATCTCCTCTAATCAGCATCTCCGACTCCTCTCCATCACCGATCTCCTCTAATCAGCATCTCCGACTCCTCTCCATCACCGATCTCCTCTAATCAGCATCTCCGACTCCTCTCCATCACCGATCTCCTCTAATCAGCATCTCCGACTCCTCTCCATCACCGATCTCCTCTAATCAGCATCTCCGACTCCTCTCCATCACCGATCTCCTCTAATCAGCATCTCCGACTCCTCTCCATCACCGATCTCCTCTAATCAGCATCTCCGACTCCTCTCCATCACCGATCTCCTCTAATCAGCATCTCCGACTCCTCTCCATCACCGATCTCCTCTAATCAGCATCTCCGACTCCTCTCCATCACCGATCTCCTCTAATCAGCATCTCCGACTCCTCTCCATCACCGATCTCCTCTAATCAGCATCTCCGACTCCTCTCCATCACCGATCTCCTCTAATCAGCATCTCCGACTCCTCTCCATCACCGATCTCCTCTAATCAGCATCTCCGACTCCTCTCCATCACCGATCTCCTCTAATCAGCATCTCCGACTCCTCTCCATCACCGATCTCCTCTAATCAGCATCTCCGACTCCTCTCCATCACCGATCTCCTCTAATCAGCATCTCCGACTCCTCTCCATCACCGATCTCCTCTAATCAGCATCTCCGACTCCTCTCCATCACCGATCTCCTCTAATCAGCATCTCCGACTCCTCTCCATCACCGATCTCCTCTAATCAGCATCTCCGACTCCTCTCCATCACCGATCTCCTCTAATCAGCATCTCCGACTCCTCTCCATCACCGATCTCCTCTAATCATCAGCTCCGACTCCTCTCCACCACCGATCTCCTCTATTCATCATCTCCGACTCCTCTCTACCACCGATCTCCTCTAATCATCATCTCCGACTCCTCTCCATCACCGATCTCCTCTAATCATCAGCTCCGACTCCTCTCCACCACTGATCTCCTCTAATCATCAGCTCCGACTCCTCTCCACCACCGATCTCCTCTAATCATCTCTGACTCCTCTCCCCCACTGATCTCCTCTACTCATCATCTCCGCTAATCCTCTCTCACTCCTCTCCTCTACTGATCTCCTCTAATTCTCAGCTCCGACTCCTCTCTACCACCGATCCCCCTGTCGCATCTCCGACTCCTCTCCACCACTGATCTCCTCTAATCATCTGATGGAAGTCCTATTGGGCAGCAGTGGTTGACTCCTCCTCCTCTGTCGGTCTCTCTTCCAGTAACCCTCATCGATTCCTACGAGTCTTCCACATTCATCTTCCTGGTCTTTGACTTGTGAGTATTGCGGGTGGTTGGCGTCCTCGTGGACTCCTCCCCCTTTCTTCTGGTCACATGTCGTCTCTCTTGTAGGATGAAGAGAGGAGAGCTGTTTGATTACCTCACAGAAAAAGTCAAGCTGAGTGAGAAGGAGACCCGGTGAGGATTGTTTGTTGTGTGGAATGGAGAAGAGTTCTGGTTCTGGTCCATTGGAGGACACGGGAAGCTTTAAGGTTACAGTTGTGGTGAAGTTAGGCGAGGAGCTTGGCCTGTCTTGTGAATGGAATGTGTGAGGGACCTGGAGGGACGTGGGCCCCACCTCGTTGTATATCATCACCATCATGCTAAGAGTGGGAGGGTTTATCCTGGGTGAGGCTCCTCCTGCAGGTGGCAGTATAACCATAAGGACCATGACTTCCATTCCTCCTCCATGTCCTGGTAGGCAGTCACATTGGGGTCTGTAGATCGTCCCCCTTCTTCTGGATGCCGGAGTCTTGCAATGCCTCATGGGACCGGCGGGTTAGACTTTGGGTACCCCCGCTGTGTCTTCTCCTCCCGCTGACCATAGTCTAGAGACCGCCTCCGGGGGGTGTGGTCTCTCTTGTGATTTGCTCCCTCGGTGTGGTGTTTCAGGTGCATCATGCGCTCTCTGCTGGAGGCGGTGTCTTATCTGCACAGAAATAACATTGTCCATCGTGATCTGAAACCGGAGAACATCCTAATGGACGACTGTCTGAACATCAAGCTGTCTGACTTTGGCTTCAGCTGCGTCCTGAACCCTTCGGAGAAGTTGAGAGGTGCGTTTCTTCTGCATGCGTTGATGTGAGGGGGGGGGGCGTGTGTCCTGGATGTCAGTCGGGTTCTCATGTTCTCCTCTTCCTTTCATAGAGCTGTGTGGGACTCCGGGGTATCTGGCTCCAGAAATTCTCAAGTGTTCTATGGATGAGACTCACCCTGGATACGGCAAGGAGGTGGACCTGTAAGTACGGGAGGGTGGAGGTGGCCCTGTAAGTACGGGAGGGTGGAGGTGGCCCTGTAAGTACGGGAGGGTGGAGGTGGCCCTGTAGGTACGGGAGGGTGGAGGTGGCCCTGTAGGTACGGGAGGGTGGAGGTGGACCTGTAGGTACGGGAGGGTGGAGGTGGGCCTGTGGGTGG